GACATGCATCTCTGGACTAAGTATGATGGCCATAGTTGCCCATAAGCTTCAGATGTGAAAAACTGCCCGTTGCTATTTGCTTAGCCCATCATCTTGGTATGCTCATTGCTCTCTGCCAAGATATACATCCCTCACTCTCATGTCTAAAGGTCAATCTGGTAGAAGTTACTATCTATGCCATTCTAAAAATAGAGATTATTGCTTTCCCTAGGAGGCAACTACCTCATACAGGTTCACCCCTAAAGCCCCTGGGGAGAGGACCTCCCACTCTCCAGTGCCTTCTCCTACTTTTCACTTCCAGTTTGCCACCACAACCTCCAACCCCGCATCTCTGACCACGATCACCAAAACTCCCCCTCCCCCTTGGTTACAAATACCACTAACCATTGCATATATCTCACTGAACTATCAGTTCATACCCTTCAACAATGTAATTGCTGGACTTGCCACCTTGAACCAAGGAATACACCAAGATATTATTGTCATAAAAAGTATAACTCATACTTTCAATACACTTTATAATTCAGCCAGGATATTGTTGGAAATCTTGTAGACCTGTTTTCTTGGCTAATACCATATAATGGGAAATTTATTTACGGACTGGCCTACAAGGACTCATACTTCTACTTGTGCTCCATTTTACTCTCATAATAAAATATTTTTAAGCTGTTTAGGGCATCCTAGGCATGACTCACTAGAAGTCTTCTTTTATTTGGGCCAAATACACCATACAAAACTGACGTGAAGATCAATGGGTCAATTTTAATACATTTTAAAATTTTTCAAAAATGCTGTCTAGACCCAATTTTGAAGCCCTAACTGGAGGATGGTGAGCCCCCTTCTTGAGCAGCTGATTAAGTCCACACCCCAACAACTTTCCTTATCTGGGCTGTCAGACTCCAGGCTACTGCATACACACCTTCATTGCCACAGGGGCAAGTACTAGACCACTAGGAAGAGGTCCATAGACAATTATGTACGGGAGCCTGGAATATGATTCAAATTAGTCAATCCCAGACCTCTGGAAACCCAACCCCATCTATATTGTGATACATAAGTTTCTCTCTACTGTTTCAGCTCAGTGTTACTCTGTCTACAAGTGCAATCCCTGTGAGACCCTATTTGGCAGCCTTCTCTTTTTTGGAGCTGTAAGAAAGAAACATAGAGTTCTGCCTATCATCCATTCAAGTGTCCTTGTGCTGTGTCCCAACATCAAAAGAATCTTTAAATCTCCTAAAATAGGAAGAAAGAATCTTCCTTGCTTCTCCCTTAGCTTCTACTGGTTTGTTGAAAATCTTTGGTGTTTACTGGCTTGTAGAAGCACCACCTTGATCTTTGCCATCATCTTTACATGGTGTTCTCCCTGTGTGCATATCTGTGCCCCATATTCCTCTTTTTACAGTGGCATCAGTCATTAGATTAGGACCCAACCTACTCCAGTTGGGTACATCTTAATTACATCTGCAACAACCCTATTTCCAAATAAGGCCACATTCTGAGGTACTGGGGGTTAGAACATCAACATATGAATTTTGAGGAAACACAATTCAACCTATAACAGGAAGTATTTATTAAAGCCACACATATGTTTATCCTAGGATCCATCTATTTTATTCCTTGGTATACACCCAAGAAAATGAATGCATAAGTAGACCAAAAGATATATACAGAACAAAAGTGTTCATAGAAGCTTTACTTATGTTAGTCCCAAACTGGAATAATCTAAATCCATAAAGGAATGAAAGAAATAAGTTATGGCATATTCATTAAAAAATTCTACATGGCATTAAAACATGAACCATGTAAAAATTTTATTTATATGCAGTTCAAAAACAGGCAAAATGGTGATAGAAATCAGAGTAGCACTATCTTTGAGGAAGGGATATTGAAAGAGAAGGAGCATGAAGGAAATTTCTTGAATGATGAAAATGGTCTTATCTTGGTTATGGAGGTGATTATCTAAGTGTGTACATGTATAAAAAGTCATCAATCTATAAACTTAATATTTGTGCATTTTACCATAGATAACTCCTAATTCCTAAAATGGTAATTCTTAAAAGAATTGGTATATAATTTATCTCATCACCTCAGTACTGTGGGGAAAACCAATGAATAGTAAGCATTGGCTGTTTTGATTTATCACTCAGCAAAACTCACAGACGTTTCTTGTCAGTGGCTAATCAGCCAAAAGCATACAGAACAGAAATGAAGCTAAAACAAAATGGCAAAGAAAACTGACACACAATCCTCTTGAACTGAGCGTAAACAAAGTGACCAAAGGAGTCACTGATTTACAGTGGATTAGCATTAAAGTAGAAAACCAAATGCATACATTGTAGATGACTTCAACTTAGAGGTTACTGATCTTAATTATTGTAATATCTGGTAAGTCTGATTCTTTGACATTTTTAGCAAAAAATAAAGCTATCTTTCAACAGTGATGAAGATGCTCTCAATCCATTCATAAGATGTTTTGTGATTTGTTCTAGTAGCAATGTTAAATTTGTGCATTTTCCAGCACAAATTTACTTTATCCCAGTGGTGCACTGACTAGTTGACCAGCTGAGTCCATAGTAATAAGGGGGCCCTGGAATGGAGTGAAACTAAACTTCTGTGACTAGACAAACATGGTGTTCTCCTTCAGTTTTTTGGTTTGTACTTTTAGCATGTCTCTTGAATTCTTAGTTTTGGGTGTTAATATTTAGAGATGTGTAATTTTCTCTCCTTTGATATTTCTAATATTTCTAGCCCTAAGGTTAAGAAGGAAACCCTACATTTCTATTTAAGGTTATAAAATTTTAAAATAGAGGCATGAAATTTATGGATACAATTTGTTTCAGAAAATAAAGATCAGGGAGCATAAGAATATATAAAATATAAATAATTAATCTAAGTCAATGATTTCAATCTCCCACCAGAACTCTTTATACAAACGGAATCTTATCCAAAAGCATAAGCAGGTAGAACAAATGAGTGAAGTGACTCTAACTAGAGCGTACTTGGGTAGCAACAAGCAAACCTTTGAATACTTTCTGTCTTTTCTTGCAATGATCCAAATGGTATTTCACAATATTCTGAGAAACAGTGGTTTTCACACTTCCATATTCTAGTTAAAGGAGAAAAGAACCAGCTCTTAGGAGAAAGAAAGTGGGAATCTAGGGCCAGGAAAAGCTGAAAGGAATTGGAAGGGAGGAAGGAACATTTAGGATGAACTCAAGAGAAAGTGAGCAGCAGATTTTGACTCATGTAAAGTAATAGAGAAATACTTCAATGTGGCAGAAAATAGATGGCAGGGAATGGATGGCAAAAAAAAAGTGCAGTTGAGGAGAGTTTAATTAAATTTTCAGCATGTTTTTCCATGTAATGATGGAACAACTTCTAATTTCTGTTTTACAAGGATTTTGGAGGTAATTTTAACTATGGTTAATTGCTTTTCTGTCATGTTGTGTGTAGGGAAATAATGCCTTCCACTCCATTTAAGTGCCTAAAATTGATTTCATTTACTTTCCATTATTTTCTATAGCTTCAATAATTAGTTCCTGTATGGCTAGAAACCAGAGCACTGTAAGACCTCCTTCAGAAGGTAATGTGGTTTTTTGTCTTGTTTTGTTTTGTTTTGTTTTTTGAGGCCAGTACTTAAGGACGGAATGTTGAGCTTCCTTAAAAACATAGTTGAAGGTCTGGACTGAGTGCCAGCCTTGTGTGAAGTTAAAGAATGTGA